ATGCCCTGGTCATCTCTCGGCTAGACTATTGCAATGCGCTCTACATGGGGCTACCTTTGAAAAGTATCTGGAAGCTACAGCTGGTTCAAAATGTGGCCACACGGACAATCTTGGGCGCCCCTAGGATGGCACACATAACACCTTTACTGCCTGAGCTGCATTGGGTCCCAGTCTGCTTCTGGGTCCAATTCAAAGTGTTGGTTATTATCTTTAAAGCCCTACATGGCATGGGTCCAGATTACCTGAGGGACCGTCTCACCCCCATCACATCAACCCGTCCCACCTGATCAGGCAGAGAGGGCATGTTGCAGGTGATGTCAGCGAGAGAATGTTGGCTGGCGGGGCCCAGGAGGAGACCCTTCTCTGCCGTTGCCCCCACCCTGTGGAATATTCTCCCCCCAGAGGTGCAGCAGGCCCTTACCCTCCTGTCTTTCCTGAAAGGATTAAAGACCTGGCTCTGCCAGCTTGCATGGGGTGACAACAATCTTATCCAATCCTGAGGGTGGCTGGCACCTTGATGATGCTCCCTGAGTGACTGCCAATTTTACATCTATCCCTGGATCTATTTATTTTCTATTTATTTAAGATTATGGTATGTTGTAATTTTAATTGATTTTAATCGCTTTGTAAACCACCCAGAGTTGTTTCAATGAGATGGGCGGTGACCAATTTGATATATAAATAAATAAATAGAAAATCAAAATTAGCAAGGTTATTCCATTGTTTAAAAGTCACTTGGATTCTGAAAAGAATATTTGGATATATTACAACCATTATGAAATTAATATAGTTGGGGAAGTGTGTAATCTGAAGCCCACAGCAAAATTTTAAGAAAAAAAAAATCCTTAAAAAATCACTACCATTTTCATTTGTGACTGTTCCACACACAAAAAAGTGCCCTAATTGTGGCTCAGTTGTTTCTAAATTTTGATTCAGGGAGAAAACCACAGCTACACTGAAATTATTTCCATCAGCAAAATGATGAGAAAGAGTCAAGTAGAGATACAAAGGGTCTTCAAGCACAGTGGTCCCAAATAGTTTTCCCCCATCCCCCAAAATAACTTCCAAAAGATAATAGGATATCATCAATCTCCCATCCTTACATAATAATTATAGTGGATCTTATTTCCCAAATAAGGCTTAATGCTGCACCCCTAATTGTCAGGAACAAGCTTGGCGATAGCTGCATGTCAAGATGGAAATCTCAAGGCTAATACATTTAGTACAAGTAAATCACCCCACAACTCAACATCCCAAGTCCAACTTCTGCTTCAAATACTTTTCAAATATGCCACACTTTCCAAAAGTGCGTAGGTCACTACCATGTATTGAATCTCAGAGTCAAAGTGATAGCTGTGCCAGAAATCTCAATGGCAACCGTGTATGACAGATACTTGTGTTTCTAAAGGCTATTTTTTATGCATGATGCTAGACGGTATGGATATATCTGATAAAACCATGAGGAATATTGAGGAGGAATATGATGTTCATTTGTTCAGAAAGTAAGAATATTTCTGCTGTCATATAAGCCCCATTGTCTGTCTGATATTCTTAGTGGAGAGAGTATTGTTCTCGGGTTTTGTATTACTTCTAATGTCTCAATGCTTTAATACTGACCTCATTCTCTGGAAGTTCCTTTCTGAAACATTCATTTTTTGAATTTGTATATCATCATTAGATTTCAGTAAAATAATTTTACCTTCCTAAAATGGAAAAAGGCTACATACTCTATTCCAGTGACACTGTAACTCGCCATTCCCAATTAAAAAGGTCTGCAATACAAATAACTCAGATTACTTTCAATTATTCCAGGACAAGTGATATTAACCTCTTAGACTGATTTCCATTTTCATGTCTTAAAGTTCAGCACATATTTTGCATACTGTATATTAAGGGAAACCCCACAATGTCTTTCTTTTTATATCCACTTGTTTTCTGGCTTTGTAATGCAGATCTCCTTCCATATAGCCAATTACATTCATTCAACAAACAAATCAAACATGATACTAAATGAGCTTAGGAAACAATGCTGGTTTTCTATAGTAGATGCAGATGGCCCTAAATTTCATTAAGACAGTAACACTTGAGTGGGACAGCTCAGCTTAACTCCTTCCTCCCCCTTTCCAACATCTCCTCTATTTACCATTAGTATCTTCCTACATACCTATACACACACGAAAACCTAGTGGCACCAATGGGAGATCCTTCTTGGGCTTACAGCATTTGGGGCAATTTATGCCTGGATCGTTCTCCTCATGTCCTTATTTCCTCCATGCTTGCTCTTAAGGAGGGGGAAAAAAATAGACATGATTACTAAATACATCTGTGGGGACATACTGAGTTTGGCATAGAGGATGTAATTTTTACCACACATTAAAAGTTCTTGAAGTGTTGGGAAGACTTGCTTTCAGATACAACTTAAGGGGATTGCATCTGCTATACTCTTCCCTCTTCCAAATGAATGGCCGCAGGAAATTTTAATAGTCATGTTAAATCTAATTGAAAGCTGAGTTCAAAAAACCAGAGACTGTCTTGCAGCATTATCTTATGAGCATCTCTGTCTCTTTTTCTCTCTTTCAGGTCCCTATGAGGCTGTTTAAATTATCAAAATACCAGTGTGATTAAAACAGGTTATATACAAGTAACTCTACCCTGGATAGATTGAAATCAAGGAGGCGTTCCTGTTTTTCCTCTTGTCCTATTCTGTTCTCTCATTACTGACAAAGCAGTAGATGAAGCAGTTGAAGAAACCCCAGTTAAATGCTCCAGTACATTGCACTTAGTGGTATTATCATTATTATTTATTTATTAGATAATGCATTGCAGTTAGCTGCATCCCAAACCAGTGGCTTGCTTCAGAGAGATGTCCAAGTTTAATTAACAGTTTGGATACAAATAGAAAAGCAGACCATACTTCTACAAAGGTGTAGCATTCTGATCCAAGGTTTCCTCATAAGGAAGACCCCAGGGTAAGGAGAAAAAAAGAGATATACTACTGACATCTTGTTCCTAATCAGAGGGAATCATTTTACCATGGTTTTCCAATCAGAGCACTTTGGTGGAGGGATGTTAAAGAAATATACTAATATAGTTTTACTCTGTTCTATGTTTTTTGACAGTTCTCTGTTTTCTGAGCAGAAACTTCTAAAATATTGTGGTACAGACTGTGAGACTTTGTGTTGTATTTCTCATGTTCCCCATTATCTAGGCCAGTTTTTTTTTTTTTCCTTATACCAACCAAACCTCTTACATTTAGTCTTTTCCTACAACTAATAACTTAAAACAGAAAATTTCTCTGTTATACTTTCTGTAACTATTGAATCAGCAGTGACACCACCAAGCAGACTTTAGCCAATCCAGAAAGCTAAGCAGGAATAGCCTAGCTAGCACTTGGATGGGAAACCATCTTGGAAGTCCAGAGGTGTAGGCAAGACTAGGAAGTCAGGGAAAAAAGTCCTGCAAGAAGGCAATGCGTGGTGCCAAGAACACTGAACGGATGAGTCCATGTAAGTCAAGCTCAACTTGACTAAGGCTTCACTTTATACTGCATATGAAATATTTGTTCAAATTGATCATCAAACACATATTTCTCAATAAGACAAAATCTGGAGTGGCTATCCATGATCAGATTCATACACTCACATAGCCTAGTGATGGGTAAGCTATGTCTCTCCATATGTAACACCTCCTTATTTTGTCTCTGGGCCATCCTCAGTAGACTGATGAAAGCTGGAGTCTATCAAAATTTGGAGAGGTACAGCTTTTTCCACCTTGTGTGAGCTTTCATCTCAACTAACAGGATTCCAGGTTTTTGTTTTGTTTTGCTTTTAGGATCTTAAACATTAAATACTTTTTTTACCCTTGAAGTATCCCAGAATTTCAAACTTCCTTATGCCCTTTGTTCTCTTTTTTTGGACTGGCAAGATGAATATTCCAGTTATCCAAACTTCAATTACAACAACATCAATAGTAAACAACAATAATTAATAATAAGCATCTTAATGTAAGGATTATAAATAAACATTTAAGAAATAGAAAATAAGAGAAAGTTTAAAAAACTCACAGATTCCTTCATTCCCGATTCTGGGCTACAGTATTAGAAAATAAGAACTTGCCTAATTTCAGCTACCATGTGCCAGTGATGAACAAAGCAACAGGCAATTAACATTACAAAGGGAAAAATCCTTGGTCAGCATTTACTGTTCCACTTCCACAAAGCTTCTATTCTCTTCCTTTCTGTGTGGGTGTAGCATTTTGCTGAAAAGCTATATTCAGTTTAGAGGGCATGTATTTCAGCCTCAGTCTGAAACAACAGCATTTGTATGCAAGTTGCCTGGTAACTCAAATGCGGGGGAGGGGGGGACAGGCAGAGAAGGACACTGTCTGGTGCACATAATTAGGAATGTGTCAGAAATTTTTTAAAAGCTTATGTTTTTAATGTCTCCACAAGTACCCTTTTTCTTTTTTCACCCCGCCACAATAGAAGTTCTAAATAAACGTATGTTGATTTTTTCATTCCTGCAAAATTGTTTAGTGGTGAACTTTAGTATCAACACTCTGCATGAAAAAAAAGTGAGTTTGGTATTTGCACAAGTTGTGCCCCTTCAACACATCTGCATGCTATCATCCTACTCGTCAGGAGGAAGGATACTTGTGCAAGTCATCATAGTTCACCCTTCTCCTCTGTCAGTTCCTCCATGGTAGATTCTGGAAGCTGATACTTTGTGGCTCAGAGTTTAACCATTTTTAATTTTTAAACTGTCCCTAAAATTATTCGCCCACCAGTTTTCTTTGTTTTTTAATTGGGGGCTGGAAGATTTTTCTCCCCTACTTTTAAAATAGCTCTAGGAGAAAATATATTTGAATCTACATTCAAGTGATGAATGCTTTCCTCCATTTCTTCTTTTTATACATAATCCATCAGTGATATTTTAATTAGAAAATTACTTCCAGGTAATGAATTCTATTTTATTATTTTTATGTTTCATGTTCTACTCAACAGTATGAACACGTTTGTAATAAAGTAAGCTGCACAATAAGCAAACTGAACAACCTGACAATTCTGTCTATGTATTTCTTTTGATTTGAAAAATGAAATCAATTTGAACTGCTTATGCTCTGCCCCTTTTCTGGATATGCAGATACCTTCAATTAGAAGTGCAGATAGACACCAGAAAAGAGAATCTCTCCATGGATTGAGTGACAATGATCACTCAATTATACGTGGGCCATTTCAATAATCAACACGCAGGAGGGTATTTTATTTCCTGATTTGCCCATCACGCAAGTGTCCAGGTTGCATAATAAAGATCATGCCCATCTAGTAGACTTGTACGAAGAGTGCCTGTTTTGCAAGGCCGCCACAAGTTGGACTGAAGGTCGGATTCAATTGGTAGTAGTGCCTCCTCTTGAAAAGGGAAGGCATTCAGCCTCAACATTCTTTGCTTTGCTTCAGCTAGCTACTTCACTTTGGCATCTATGGACACAGTTCAAAAGCCCTTGAAACGGCTGCTCGGTCACACATTTGGTAAATACCAACAGCTTCAACGCTCGATGGGCCTTAAGGGGGTGCTTCAATCTAAGCAAAGTGCTCCTGGAAGATTCCTTGCTACACTAGCAACCAGCAGCAAGGACTTAACAGCTATGGGCACACATATGTTCAGGTACAAAATATTTTCTATCTATCTGTCTGTCTGTCTGTCTGTCATATTTATATGGCCGCCCATCTCACAAAACGTGACTCTGGGCAGCATACAATAAAACCCCCCTATAAAACAGTAATATAAAAAACAATCAACAATTTAAAAATACATTAATAATAAGGATGAAAAGGCAAGGAAAGGGCAACAGATTATATCTCTATTTGCATTTGAATATAAAGTGGCAACCTCCAGCTGTTACGATTTGGTATCTTTTTTCCTCCTTTTGAGTGAAAAAGAACATTATTCTTATAAGAAGTTGCTTAAGTTTAGTTGTGTTACCGGGAGCCATATAAAAGTGCACTGACAGGCCCAATTTTGCCAGCTGGGTCTCCAAATCAGGGGAATGCAACAAGTGTGTCAATTTGCATTCAATTCCCCCAAAAGGGAAACAGGATTGTATAGATTTCCTTCAATCTAGATAGCACTTCTTTCAGCTCTATTGACCAGCTTTGTTTCTGGACATGTAGCTCGTGTAATCAGTGGGCTGGACTTGCCAGAAAATGAAAACAACACATCTGTTATGTTGTTCAACAACCTCATCCTAAAATGTGAGCAGGGGTGGGAAACATATTGATAGTCAATGCCACCACTTAGCACTGGGGGACAGGGATGAGAGCTTTCCATTTGCTCTTTTTTTCTAGATGTTTGATCATTTTCAAAATCATGCTAAGCTTATTTTAGGGCATTCATTATAATTTTGGTAGGAAACAACCTCAATATGATGGGAAATTGTGTCAATGATATTTCATCATTTAGCCACTAAAATTCAGCAGAGGGAACTTTAGCAAAAGAAAATTAAAAAGCACCCAGCAACACATGCAGTTGAGGAAGGAATTAGCCTTCCCCAGTGCAGGCTCAGAAAAGAAACACAAGTCAACAGGTGACTCAAACAAATTCACTGCAAAATGTGTGTGTGTGTATGTACGTATGTATGTACGTGATATGTATATAGATGTAGATATAGATAGATATATAATGTGTGTGTGTGTGTGTGTGTGTGTATATATATATATGTATGTATGTATGTATGTATGTATGTATGTATGTATATATAGCAAGAAAATATGCTCCCAAGGGTTTATATCAATTAAATACTTTCCTGAGGAGATAGGGAATGCTGAACATGGTGAGCTGGTGCAGAAGAGAATTCTGACTGAAGTACACACCTTTTAACAAAAGAAAAAAAGAAAACAAAAACAACCCCAAAAATCGAAAAAAGAGGATTCTGAAAAATGCAATCAGAGATGCAAGTGTTACAAAAAATGGGGTTTGTAAAAAATACAAATGGAAGCAATGTTCACTTGCAATTGTATTTCACCACATAATTATGTAAAACTCATTCTGAGCCTCCGGAGAAACAGGAAGGAGATGTCCATGTGCAGAACCAGTATAGTAAGCAGCTGGGAAGCAGCAAAGTATCTAGCCTATAATAGGCATGCTCTCTATCTCAACATTTATTTTATTTTATTTATTGTGTCTTTGAGTCATTATTGACTCCTGCCTGAACTAGTCCCTGCAGTTTTCTTGGCAAAGTTTTTTGGAAGTGGTTTGCCATTGCTTCCTTCCTAGGGCTGAGAGG